AATTGATTTTGATGATAATTATTTTGTTTGGTAGGTCATACTTCAGAGGTAGTCCCATATGATTTTTATTGAAATTGATTTAGTGCTTTTTGAAAAATCAACAAAAACAAAAAATAAATACACATCAAAAATTGAAAAGTATGTGTTAATTTTTAGAAAAAAAAAACAAAAACCGACTTCAAGACTTTTAATTATTTCAAATCAAAGTGCACTACAGAATAATCGACAAAATCATTGATGCTTATATACATTTACAATTTAAAATCAATTTTTGGAGTCGGTGCCAAGGCAAAAATAACCTTAACAGATACCTACTTAATAAGTCAATTAATATGTGAATGCAAAAGTAGAGATTAGATAAAAGAAATCTGACGAAACGTTTGTTGCAAATGCAAGATTAAACTACCCCTCTTGACTAGCGCCAACTCAAAAAAAAACAACTGATTATAAATTGTATAAAATANGATATGATAAATTGTACATTAGTAAAAAGCGAATTGTACGATTTTGAAAAACGAAATCGACATTCTCTGTCAATTGCTCTATCTGTATGTTTAGCAGTAATTTATTACAGCATTATTCAATATGTGTGTGAAGAATCTACAAGCGGCAATATGATGTCTTCGTAGGATTGGGGTAGTAGCGGACCTGGGCTAAGTAATAACCAATAATTCCCGGCCCCCTAAAATTTATTTGCAAGTATGGCAGAAGTATTGGACAAAAGCAGAACTATTAATACTAAAAATTTTCACTGCGGTACTTGTTTTGTCTGTATTGTCATTTCTTACCAATATCTTCTATTAAAGTTCGGTTAGGTTAGGATAAAAAGTTGACGGTAGGAAAAGACAACACGAAGGAAGTGAGTGTTGTTATTTTTTTTATTTAGATTAATATAAAAAAAGGAGAAGTTAGAATTAGTTTAGGTTACCTTTATGTCCTTTCTTTACTTACATTGTTCTTGTTTACACTGGGATAGATCAAACTTTATTTATTCTTTTGCTGGTTTTCTATATTAAATTCTATTTTTTCTAAAAAAATTCCTTTTTTTGTGGGCGACGTTTGTATTATTGGTAGCCATCCTTCCATAATAGGAATAAGTAATAGCTGCAGATAATTTACAGTTTTCACTCGAAATTGGGAGTATTTATTGGGCAAATCAAGTTGCACAATATCGTGCTTACACAGTAATACCTCCCCAACAAATATTTATCAAAAAAAGAAAACGTTGTTTGAACCTAATGTCTTATATGTAGTTTATTATTCTTTGAGTAAATGATATTTTTAACTAAAGATTTCTATAGAGGCATTCCTAAGAGCCCCCTGTGGTAAATTGCTACCTTAGACACCTTTCCGGTTTTCATATTCAAAAGGACAAAGCGAAGGGGCGGCTTACCCTTTTTGTTGTGTCGATTCTTTAGTCTACGAAATTCTTTAATTTTTTTGAAATTTGAGAACAGCTATTATAATCGACCACTAATAGAAGATGTAAAACATACATCTACAGATATCGTGTAGACGCAGGACGAAGATGCTTATTAAGGGTTATTAGAAAAGGTTCTCGAATATTACAAGAAGTATCATTGGCTACTTGTAATACTGTATGTGTATTATATAAATTTATAAATGGGAAAATAAAAACTAACTTTAACATCAATAAATTAAAATTAGATGAAAAAGGGTCTGTGATATAATGTGACAAAGAAATTCTTTTGTGTTACTTTATAATTATATTGATGACTTCATGTGACCTGTCATTTTAACGTCATGTAAACTTATTATTAGTATTTGTCCTGAAACTGATAGATTACGTGATTATTTTTTTACTTAAAATATATATGAGTTGTATTCTTCTTTCTAAAACTAACGATCTCATATTTTTTAGTTGCAAGTACGTAATTGTTGTTTATTCTCCAAAATTTTATTAAATTCATAAAATAATTGATAATAAATAGTGTCTGGCTGTTCGTTTGTTTACATTGTTGCAGAACAACAAAAACTTGTGAATCTCGGTAATTACTAAGTTTGAGTATCTATACAATTTTGTTATTAATTCTGCTTGTCATGGATATGTACTTATGTTTGTTTTAAAAAATCGCAAAAGTCACGAATGAAATAATTTCAGTGTTTGGCGAGACAATTCTGTTTTCTGTTTTCAAGGTAAATGTAATTATAATCACATACGTGTAATTGGTGAAATTAAACGACTATTATAAGCAGTTACGTAAACGTNCGCCTATAACACCACATTTCGAACGCTTCTAACCTTTTCTTTTCCGCCGCTCCCACTGTCCATGTTTCGCACCCGTACAACGCCGTGCTCCAAACATACACCTTTAACAACCTTTTCCGAATTTCTAAATTAACCGTTCGCGAGCATAGAAGTGACTTCTTTTTATTAAAGGCGACACGACCCTGCGCTATCCTCTACTTTATATCCCAACTACTTCTTCCGTCCTGACTTACCCGACTTCCTAGGTATCTAATCAGCCACTTCTTCTAATTTTTCGTCTTCTATCTTTATATTAGCTCTTTCCCTACTTTTTCTTCCCTTGTATACCAGTATTTTTGTTTTATTTTTATTTATTTTCATACAGTACTGTTTTGTCAACATGAATTAAATTAACTCAGTTAACAGTGGATCTAGCAACTGTTTCTACCTATTATAATTCGTGTAAATTAGTGAACACGTTTTCTTATTGTTCCAGGGTGTCGTGAGACGGCCTTCATTTACGCGATAACAAGTGCGGCAGTCACACACGCGATAGCTCGTGCTTGCAGTGAAGGTTCAATAGACACCTGTAACTGCGAGTACAGCCACCACAAGAGTCGACCTAGAATGTATTCTAGTAGTCGAGGATCCGTTCCAGGAGTACGCGAATGGGAATGGGGAGGTTGTTCGGATAACATTGGATTTGGCGTGGAGTTTGCCAGAGAATTCGTCGATACAGGCGAACGTGGTCGAAGTCTGCGAGAAAAAATGAATCTTCACAACAACGAAGCAGGAAGAATGGTAAGCTCTCAGAAGCGGCTTGAAAATCTTCAATCGTTTTCATCTTGCTATTATAATATACACTTGAAAATCTTCAACCGTTTTCATTTTGCTATTATAATATACATATAGAAACACGACAGCTGGAAGTAGAGTTTAACTAATATTAAAACGTTTAAAAGGGTTGCGTAGGCCTACTTTTGATATCAAGGATGTTGTCGGTTAATCACAATCCTAATTGAAGATTCCCAATTTTGACTTATTCAAGATAGGGTTTAAATGTCTACATTATAGTGTATGTTTGGTTGCATAAACTCTAATAACGTTATATTTTTAATGAAACAATTATTGTTATGGTAAACGAATTTGTTAATGAAAATCTTGAAATAATTATCCTGTTTACATGAAGTATGAATCAGGCGAATTAGTTTTTAAATAAAAGAAAAAAATGTAATACACAGCATATAAAAGTAATATCTAACAATAATTGAGTAATTACTCTAGAAATAGCTAACCAAAAAAGTGTTTATAGGGATATTCAGTTTGCATATGTAGGTATGGTTCGCGTGTTTTTTTTTAAATTAAGTATTCAAATATCTGAAAGGATTTCTCAATATGATGCTTGCAATTATTGTACGTTAATAATGAAAATATCCGATCTCATGGGTGCCAAGTCAATTTATACTTTGCATTTTAATCGGCGATACGGGAAGTTCCTTTTATTCTTGTATTGCTCTTAACATAGATATTCAGTAGATAAAGTGGTTGTTGTTAAAACAAGAAGGTCTTTGTCTGGGGCACTGACTGCGTGGAATTTGGACAAAGCAAGTTTTATGCATGATTAGGTCAAAATTCGTTCATCTGTGGGCGATCTTTACCAGTCGTCTGCAATCTTACAAAACCACTGTGTGAGTCCGGTTTCTGGATATGAAATATTGTTATTTCGATAATCTGTGGCTCCCTGCGGAGAGATTCGGTAATTACGTCATCATGGAGCTCCCTGCTGGCCTCCTTGATTTATATCTCTTTAACGTTTGTACGGTCTGCTATTGCTACAAACACTGTAGTTTATCACTCCGAGATTGAGATCGAAGCCGTGGGCCATTTTTATCAATCAACTCGTTCGTTCGTGCGATGGCATCGACGCGATTTATATCCCATAAACTTCCCGACTCTCTCTTTCTTTTCTTCATTCACCACTTTTTACTGCTTTATTATGTCGAATCGCGTGCGCCTTGTAAACTCTTTCAACAACAACAACAACAACAACTACACTGTCACCACAAGGCCAAAATTATGTTCAGCTTTGCAGTCTCTTCACGCATTATTATCAACGAAAATAATATGTACGTTGGGCGTTTATTATGCTTTTATTCAAATTTTTAATAATTAAAAGAACTAAAATCACCGTTTCATATGCATACTTTTCAATAACTTATCGGTAATGAGGCGATTTTCCATATTTTTTTTATGACTTTTGCGGTAGGTAGATGTACCTAAAAACTGTAAATAGTTTTCAAAAGAAATGCGCGATGATATAAAAGAAATTGCCAGGAACATTTATCGAATGTAAATATCCTGTAAAATATCATATAGGTACGTACGGCATACCTACACATTATGTCATATCAAAGTGTTATTAATCAACAAACTTGTCGATAGGTTACTATTTTAACATTAAAACATTTAGTGTTCATTAATAATAATCATCGACCATAGTATTCTACTTAGGGTCTTCTAATTATTCAAGTGACATAAAGAAATTGAGATGTATTGACAACACTTTGCAACAAATTTACAGGTTGAATTACTAACTGAAGTAGAATACACAAATAAAAGTTAGTTTTTCCATTTCTATATAAAGGTATAAAGACATTTCATTTGATAAAAATCACCACACTTCGCATTACCCCATGCAAAAAAGGGAAGCTATAAGTTTAAAAACCTTTTCCCATTTAGGTGTCTAACACACTGGTGACGGGCTGAGAGTCTTTTGTATAGACAAAGTCCAAATTAACTTTTTCCTGAGTCACTGATAAAATTCCACTGTTAATGTTGATTTTAAGGCTTGAGTTATGAATTGTTTGTATCATCATCATCATCATCATAAGGTCGCGAGTCCTAAGACTGGTTGGATACGCACCTCCACTCCTTCCTATCCTGAGCTAATCTTCGCTTTTCCCTAAAACTAGAACAACCCACATCCTTAACTATTTGCGAACAGTAATCTAATCTAGGTCTACCTCTACCCCTCCTAACTCCTGTTTCTGCCTCTAATATGTCTCTGACTAGACCTTCATGCCTGAGAAGGTGTCCTACCAACCTATCTCGCCTATTTTTTATTGACTTCCATAGAGTCCTCTGTTCTCCTATTCTTTCCAATACCTCTTCATTTCTAACCTTTTCTACCCACGTTATCCTCATCATCCGCCTATAACACCACATTTCGAACGCTTCTAACCTTTTCTTTTCCGCCGCACCTACTGTCCATGTTTCGCACCCGTACAACGTCGTGCTCCAAAAAATACACGTTTAACAACCTTTTTCGAATTTCTAAATTAACCGTTCGCGAGCATAGAAGTGACTTCTTTTTATTAAAGGCGACACGACCCTGCGCTATCCTCTACTTTATATCCCAACTACTTCTTCCGTCCTGACTTACCCGACTTCCTAGGTATCTAATCAGCCACTTCTTCTAATTTTTCGTCTTCTATCTTTATATTAGCTCTTTCCCTACTTTTTCTTCCCTTGTATACCAGTATTTTTGTTTTATTTTTATTTATTTTCATACAGTACTGTTTTGTCAACATGAATTAAATTAACTCAGTTAACAGTGGATCTAGCAACTGTTTCTACCTATTATAATTCGTGTAAATTAGTGAACACGTTTTCTTATTGTTCCAGGGTGTCGTGAGACGGCCTTCATTTACGCGATAACAAGTGCGGCAGTCACACACGCGATAGCTCGTGCTTGCAGTGAAGGTTCAATAGACACCTGTAACTGCGAGTACAGCCACCACAAGAGTCGACCTAGAATGTATTCTAGTAGTCGAGGATCCGTTCCAGGAGTACGCGAATGGGAATGGGGAGGTTGTTCGGATAACATTGGATTTGGCGTGGAGTTTGCCAGAGAATTCGTCGATACAGGCGAACGTGGTCGAAGTCTGCGAGAAAAAATGAATCTTCACAACAACGAAGCAGGAAGAATGGTAAGCTCTCAGAAGCGGCTTGAAAATCTTCAATCGTTTTCATCTTGCTATTATAATATACACTTGAAAATCTTCAACCGTTTTCATTTTGCTATTATAATATACATATAGAAACACGACAGCTGGAAGTAGAGTTTAACTAATATTAAAACGTTTAAAAGGGTTGCGTAGGCCTACTTTTGATATCAAGGATGTTGTCGGTTAATCACAATCCTAATTGAAGATTCCCAATTTTGACTTATTCAAGATAGGGTTTAAATGTCTACATTATAGTGTATGTTTGGTTGCATAAACTCTAATAACGTTATATTTTTAATGAAACAATTATTGTTATGGTAAACGAATTTGTTAATGAAAATCTTGAAATAATTATCCTGTTTACATGAAGTATGAATCAGGCGAATTAGTTTTTAAATAAAAGAAAAAAATGTAATACACAGCATATAAAAGTAATATCTAACAATAATTGAGTAATTACTCTAGAAATAGCTAACCAAAAAAGTGTTTATAGGGATAGGTAACTATTTAGATTTTTCATCGGTAGCAGCGACTTTTGTCAGATACTTTTAGAATCATTCGTGAAGTCAGTTTGCTTGGGTAGGTCTAAATGTTTACATTGTAGTGTATACTTGGTTGCATTAACTGTAATAACGTGATAATTTTAATGAAACAATTATTGTTATGGTAAACCAATTTGTTAATGAAAATCTTGAAGTAATTATCCTGTTTACATGAAGTATGAATCTGGTGAATTAGTATTAAAATAAAAGAGAAAAACGTAATGCAAAACATGTAAAACTACTATATAACAATAATTGAGTAATTATCCCAGAAGTAACTATTCAGATTTTTCATCGGTAATAGCGACTTTTGTCAGGTATTTTTGGAATCATTCGTGAAGTCAGTTTGCTTTGTGATTTAAATCGAGGGGCACATCGCTTTTGAGACGGTCCGACGTTCTTGGATTATACCTACAGCATT